TTTTGTTAATATCTTCAATGCTCGATAGTTAGTCCAATATGATTGGACACTTCTTAATGATTCTCAATTTGAAAATAAGTGTTCCCCGACATTAATGCCCTCAATATTTCACATAATTTCTCTCTTTTTTTTCAAAGTCTCAAATGATCATCCAAAACTTTAAGGGAACGTGTCGTTTGTAGAATGTTTTTTTGGAAGAAATGAAATCTATCAAAAGAATTAGGATATGTAATGTGTTTAGTTGACATGAAATAAAATATGTTTTCTGCTTGGTTTGCAAATTTGTCAAATGAATTGGAAAGTAAATTATGTAATAGGACCAAAATATCATTTTAAAGTTTTTTTTATAACTTATTATTTTTTTAATAAAGATTATAGAACTTTCATTTAATTAAAAATTTCATTTAATAAACTCTTACCCGCTCAAATCTATGTGTTTTGTATTGAGTTTGAAGAAACTTCGGAATTTCAAGAATAAGTATGAAATCCGACGAACGATTATGGAATTTTGAAGAAAAAAAAACTTCTTTTATTACAACAAACTAAAAAATTAAACAAAATAATAAATGAAAAATATATACCATACAGAGTTGTCTAATATTAGTAAGATAATGTTCCACACTTCGAAAATTGACATTTCAAACATAGTTAAAAAGAATTTTTAAAATATGTATAAAAAAACTATAAAATTTTAAGAATAAGGCCAAAATATAACATCCAAAAAAACAGTTGTTTTTTTTTTTTTTAGAGAATATCCCTTTAATAAAATACATGAACCGGGTTGGATGAAAACCGGGTACGGAAGGCCTGAGGATTTCATAAAACCAAACGGTTCAAAATATGACGACAGACAACGTCACATCATTACATACGTGTGCAAATATACGGAAGATGCACTCACTACCAAAGACATTTCATTTTACAGAGACAGCTAAGTAGTGGTATATAAAGAAGACGGTTATCAATTAGCAGATCCGCCATTGATAGATACCTCAGCAACAGCAGCAACAACAAGATTTTTGTTTTTCAAATTCTAACCCTACACTCTCCATCAACCCAAGCCCTGAGAGGCTGAGACTCCAATTCTTCATGTATGAATACAAAGAAGGCTCTCGAATAATGGGGTCCGCATGCTTGAGGAGCGAGATGATGATAGGGGAGTTAACAGAGCCTGGTTGTTACTCAAAGCCCTTAGTGGCTGTCAATCTTGCTCTTGCTTTTCTCGATGTCGCTATTGCCCTCCTTGCATTTTACCAGGTCTCTTCTCTTTTCAAATTTCAATCAATCTCTACATTTTGACTTTTCAAATTGGGTTATTAGGTTTGCTATAACTCTCCATTTCTCAAATGATTTGTTGTTTGGATTGAAGAAATCGAAAATTCACTTCCAATATGTCAAACGTAATGCCAATTTTCACAATAGGGTAAATTGCTTTAATCGCCTCTGAGTTAACGAGTTCTTCTTTTCGTGAATTGGTTGACAATGGGATTTGTTTGCTTACCCTTAATGAAGAAATGAAGAATTAACTTCACTTCATAATGCTGTAAGATGTAGTTCCTATATCGTTGTGGAAGTAACTAGTAGCTAGAGCTGCATAAGAAAGCATTCTTCTGTAACTATTTAGTACATTAAGATGCTGATTCTTCAGGAGTTAATGGGAGTGTTTGTTTTTAAAAAAAATGAGAATCAGAATCAGAAATGAGAATATGCCATTCTGACTTTTTGTAGTTCTTTCTAATATAAACTCACTGCATAGTCGTAAATCAAAAAGTTTCTGATTGATGTTCTTTTATTTAAATTTCAATACTTAAATTCTAATTAAGATTTTTTCTTTAATACTAATATTTTGTACTTTCTTGCGTCAGTTGATAAGAATTCATTCTAGGAATCCACAAAGGGGTTGGACTCGACAGAAAGTAAGTAATACCCTTTAAATATCTTTTATTTGTCACTGATTTTCATGAGAATTCATTCTATAATAGCAACACATTTATAAATTGTTATTTTGCTACCAATATGCGCAATATATATTTTATTTGTTACATAAATTTTTCTACTTTACAATGTCATCAAATGTAACTTATACTAACTCATTTAAAAATCTAATTTCAGGTGTTTCATCTAATGATTGGTTTTTCCAACACTGGTATGATACTTAAGACTTTTTCTTTGTATTAATTTTAAGACATTAAATTTCCTTATATTTCCAACAAACTTTTTTTTTTTTTTTGTGACAGGTTATGGTGTTTATTTTATATTAACTCTTGTTGCTGCTTGTAAGAAGTGGATCTGTTGGTCAAATTCATGTGGTTTTGTTGTTATGGGTATGTTGTTATATTATAACTCAAGAAATTCTTATATTATAAAATTTACAACTACACATCTTGGATAATTATAAAAAAAAAAAAAAAGTATTTTCATATTTTGTTTTGTAGCATTGCCCAAGATTCTATTTCTTGCAGCTTTTCTTCTTCTTCTATCTTTCTGGTATGTTTCAGTGTGTGAAATTTATGAAAATCTTGATAGATTTATCCCTTTTAAAATTCATGGTCAACAATCGTAGGGTTGACCTTTGTCATCAAGCAAATGATGAAGATGAAGATGAATCAGAAGGTAGTTTTCATGAAGCTTTGGTAGAGAAAGTAAATAAGCCGAATTTGAAGGTTATTAATTACACTCGCAGAAGATGTTGCAATATTAGAGTCTTCCCTGTTGGCATCCGTCAACAAATTGTCATATTGGTATATTCATAATTACTATTTTGCCCCTCCCCTATCTACAATTTGTCCTTTTTTTTAACCCAGGGGTATTTTCGTCTTTCTTTTAACAGGTGACTTTGTTGATACTTGTGTTAATGCTGACATCAGCTGTGCTTATTTGGATTGGCCTTGGAAAGAATCCTATTGATTCCTCAGTTGTGGCAAGGGTATAAATTATTGGTTTTTATTTAATATTTACTTTTTTTTATTTTTTATTAATAAATTTCAAAGTATGATGCTATTTTTTCTTATAAGCTTGCAGGTGTATGTAGATACTTTTGCTGTTGTAATGCTTGTCCTAGGTGGCGCATTAGCATACTATGGTCAGCATCTTTGGTATCTGCTACTTTTATTTTTATTTTTATTTTTAATTTTTTTAGTTTTAAATATTTTAATGCTACAAATTTCTTCTCTTTATGCAAGAAATAGCAACGTATTTGTGTATTATTCTGTTTCTTTCTATTACAACATTGTACATTTGATTTTTTTTCTTATTATTATAACATTGTACTTTTCCATTTTTTTTTTTTTGTATTTATTTCTTTGATTTATTGTTTATTTGAATTCATCTGCTTTTATAAAAAAATGTACAGGATATGTGCTGGTATCAAAAATGAGTAAAGTGAGATCTGAGAGGGCTTCTTCCGAAATATGGAAGGTATGTGGTCATTTAATTAACAGCCGATTCGTTAATTTTATGAAAATGACCATTTTGCCCCTCATACTCATTCGTCCCCCTCTCCAAATCCCTAACTAGAACCCCAAAAGTCCTTTGCTCCGCCAAAATAATAATAATCATAATCAATAAAAAAGTACAAAATTTGAAGGGCAAAATGGTAATTTTACACGTGCTTAACACCCATTTCTAAACATTGTGCAAGTCACGGACCAAAATAGTATATAGGGTCGAAAAATGCAAAAAAATATCCAAAAAGAATCGATATTACAAAAATTACAATTACACAAGGACCAAAAGTGTAATTATGTCTTTATTATAGTTTACATTTTTTCTGTTTTTCAGGTTGCTGGACTTGCGATAGTTTCTGCTGTTTGTTTCACCTCAAGTTCAGTTGTTGCTATATTTACAAATATACCCGTGAGTATTTTTCTGCTTAATTCATTCAGCCATTTTCCTCAATGTCTTAATTTAATGTAGTAGGTGGGGCCCACGTCATTGATTTTCACAGGTTCTCTATCATTGTGATTGGGGGGGAATCGGAGGCCTGTATGCTTCTCTTTTACTCATTGTCTACTACTTCATAGGTATATGCAAAAACTAGCATCCTACTTTCATTTTTTACTTATTACAACATTGTACTTTGAAAAAGTCAATGAAAGTACATTGCTATTTCTTGCATTTAACTCTTTTTGGATACCATGTTTGTCCAGGTTCATCCGTACCTTCAGGTTTTGTGTTGTGGGTAATGAGAGAATTGCCACCTTTGGTTGTGGTTAATGTTCCGGAAGAATCTAGAACACTTGCTTATGTAAGTGACTATCCGGCTACTACAACACAACCATAACATTGGACTAGTATTACAACTGCACAAAATCAGGTTCGAATGCTTTTTATTTATTTTTTAATCTTTATGTTAATGTTCCGGAAGAATCTAGAACAATTGTTTTTTTTTTAATGTAGGGATCAAGGGCAAGTCCGATATGACTCAAGTTGACCAAACGATATTTAACAACTTCTTACTTGCTCGAGTCGAGTCAACAAAGGTGAAAACAAAAGTGGAGGGATTTTGATAGTTTAGGTTTTTTGTATATATAAATACAATCTCTTTTTTTTTTCTTTGATATGTATTTTTTTTCTGTTACAACATTGTACATTTTTATGTTTTTATTAAATTATTATATTATATTTTGTAACATTATACTATAATTTCTTTTCTTGTTATCATATCCAACCAACGGTGTTGCAGGAAAATAAATAAAAATTATAATCTTGTTATGATATTCATCTCCATTATCCATTTAGGGCGTTAACCCAATAAAAGTGAAAATTAAATGTTATGATATTCATCTCCATCTTGTTTTATTTCTACGCTTATGCACTATAGAAACAGACTACATGTAAGCTCAAACTCAAAGTCCTTTGATTCTTCATTATCATAGCAAACAGGAGTTAACGTTAATGAGATAAAAATTATAATCTTTTTATCCTACCTAAAAAAAGTAACAATCTACTCACTCTCAATGTTGTGCAAAAGACATAAATGTCCTTGTCTACATTCATAAGCCCAAATCGTATTATTCCCAAACATGAAGAGTGCTATAATAAATAAATATGCCCCCACGACAAACAAATGATGTTCCATTTGTAGCTCAAAAAAAAAAAAAAAAAAAACAAAACAAAAAAAAACTGCCTTGTTCAATAAGATTTCATCATTTTACAAGTCAAAAATGTGTCACTGCTCCACAACCTGTAACCAAAACACATACCACATAAAATTCAAGAAAAACTAGAAAAAAAAAATCTTTTAATCATACTTTATATTTAACTTTTGTTAATTTCTGACTAATTAATCTAATTTATTAAATATTAAAAATATTATATTTTTATAAGGTAAAATTCCATAAAAATCACTATAGTGTTTTTTTTTTAGAATTCAAAGTTTTATGTAGTGACTTTTTGAAAAAAAAAAAAAAGTACTATACTTTTTTTTTATCAAATTTGCCTTTTTTATAACTACATAGTTTTACAAAAATAATATCAATATCAATTATAATGTGTTCTTAAAAACAACAAATAGTGGGGAGGGGTATAACATATTTCAAATAGATAAGGATAAGTATTTGATTATTGAAATCAAGGCTTAAAGCTTATGTATGGAGAGGTAATAATTCTCAATCTCCAGTCGTGCAAAAGACGAAAATGCCCTCCTAATCCTCATAACCAAAAATAGCTCTAGAAAGCTTGTTAGTCATCATGTCCCGTGTAACAAACAAAGCCTTACAGAAAGTACCTTAAAGGCAGGGTTACCAATTTGTGGTCTCCTCCCAATTGATCCAAATGCACTTGTAGGCCATATCTGTAACATTTATAAAAATAAGCATTTTTCTTAAACCCTAAACCCTATACCCAAAATAAATAAATAAATAATTACCTTCCAAAAAACCTTGCCTTGAAGAAGTCCATAAGGAACAGGTCCAAAATTCCTTGAATCATAAGTATTATAAATGTTATCCCCTTCAACCCAAACATGTCCTTTTGGAACCTATACATATAAAAATACCAAAACATTATTATTTATTTATTTATACAGCACACAATTTAATAAAAAAAAAAGATTAATCATACAACTATGGTTTCGGTTCTATCGCTATGTGTGGGGTCCACAATGTAGGTGATACTGTCACCTTCCATGCCAATAATTCTCTTGGTGACAACATTTCTTGGATTTTCAGGTGACCGGACTATGATGACATCACCGGGGCCCACTTTGCCATAACGGGTTGAGATTCTGTCAAGTAGGACAATCTCACCGTTGAGGTTGAAAGTGGGGAGCATGCTAGGACCTTGGACCTGCATGTAGACGATTGTTTTAGGTAGTGTTTGGTATGATGGAATCACATAAGGAATAGAATGAAGATATTTGTTTTGTTTGATGGAATGGAATGACTCATTCCATGCCATCCAATCAAAAGGATCCTTTAGAGTTTACCATAGCAGTGGAGAAGAGGTAGGTATTGGTGACATGAATTGCACAGAAGAATTTGGCAACTGAAAAGCTTTTGTCAAGTGCTTCTTTTACTATGTAAGCCCATCTTTGAAACAAGCTCATCTCTCTCTCTTGAAAATATTTCCGGAAAATTGTACCTAAATTAACAAATAATAATGATATTAATATTGATAAAGAAGCAACCATAAGTTTCTCTTAAGCATTTCATCGAGCAGGTTGTAGGCGAATCTTGAAGTAGAAATTTTGATAAAAAAGATCATCCAGAATGCAATATGAGTATAAGAGCATCACACAGAGATATAACTGAAGTCAAATAAAGAAAGAAAGCAACTCACTTACAACATCTAACATTGTATTAAGCTTAGCAAAGTATTAAACTAATGAATCTACCAAATTTCTAAAAGAATAAGCAATAAACGACATATTTATATAGGCAATACTCCTTTTCCTAAAACAGTTACAAAATTATAGAAACAGGAGATCAAGATATCAAATTCACAGTGCCAGAGAAATTACAAAATTGATACACCGAGGTTGTAATTTCAGGGGAGGGGGTGATCACTATAGAGATATGATCAAAGTGAAACTTTAGAGAAATAAACTTATTTTAAGTATCTTACCAAGGCTCAAAGATAAAACTTAAACTGATAGAAGTGAGGCGATATAAATGGAGTGATTAGACCTACCTTATACAAGATGGAAGTGTTTGTCGCCGGCGACGGCGAGAGAAGCGTCGTCGTATTGTGGAAATTTGGGGAAGCTTAAAAACCCCGATGAAGTTGGGTCTGAATGTTTAAATAAAACCCGATCGTTTTTATAAAATGCAAAAATGACCCGGTACACTTTCATGAGCTTTATTTAAAAAAAAAAAAAAAAAAAAAAAAAAAAAAAAAAAAAAAAAAAAAGAAGAAGAAGAAGAAGAAGAAAAGAAAACACTAATAATTCATAATAATTTAGAAATAAACTAGTGGGTGGGCCTGTGGTGAACCACGGGTCACCTTTGTGGCAATGAGATGTGTTTTGTTCTATTCATAAAGAATGACGATGAGAAAACGAAACCCAAAACAGAAGCACAAGTCGATAGACGGAAAATGGACAAAATGAATGTCAAAAATGGTTAAAGGGATTGAAAGTGAGAAATATTAAAACACTTGTGGCCAATTTGTAATGAAATATAAGTAGTAATAGGAAAAAAAGACAAAATGGCCAATTTGTAATGAAATATAAGTAGTAATACGAAAAAAAAGACAAAAAGAACGCCAAAATGGTCAAAGGGACTTAAAGTGACAAATATTAATAGACAAGTGGTCAATCTCTAATTACAACATACCAATGATTAAAATTGTCAAACTATAGAAAATATTGTGGCAAAATGTTGAAGCATACAAAATAGTGGGACTTAAAGTGACAAATATTAAAAGGCATGAATCAATCTCTAATTACAACATCTAAGTGACTAAATTGTCAAACTATACAAAATATTGTGGCAAAATCTTGAAGCATATAAAATATGGACTAAAACTGTCAAATTATAAGATGTATTGTGGAAAAATCTTAAAACACACAAAATATACTATTTCTAGTGACCAGTTAATATAGTATATAAATTAGATTTGCATTAAAAAAAATTTAGAAGTTCAAAAATAAATCCTAATAATTTATAAGGCTAAGTACAAAAAAAAAATCATAATATTTTATTAGATTTTATGATTTAAACACTAAACTTTAATTTTTTTTATTAAAGACATAATACTCTATAAAAACATTTGATGATAACTACATTAAAACCACATAAAAACATTAGATATTGAGTTTTTTCACGATTAAACATCAAATTTATTTTTACTTTTTTGAAAATCCCTTGCATGCTTTATTTTGTTTTTGATTTGACCGTTTTAATAGATTTATTAATCTTTTAGTTTTATATAATTCTTTTTGAAAAAAAAAACTCTTCTTTTTTTTTCTCGAAAAAAGCTCTCAAATTTTGCAAATTTTTTGTTATACCAACTTTTTTGTTTTAGCTCGTAATTCTTTTATTTTTAATCTTGTTGTTGCTTATGATGTTCTTGATAGTTTTCAATATTAAAATTTAAAATGAAACATTTATTCTTTTTAATCAAAAACAAAAAGAAAGGATGTCATGTCCAATTTTTGTTGGCAAAATACATATCAAAAATATATTTCCAAGATGCTCGGTGATTGTAGAATGTAAAGAACAATGATCTAAGTTGACTTGGTATTTTAGACCGTTTGAAGTTCAAAAGTTATATTTATGTTTGATTCTTAAAACAAGATAAAATGTCAAGCCAGTTTGAATTATTGGTCTTCACCTGCTATAATCTATAAACATCATGTAAATAGATTTTTATATGCATTTTATCAACAAGAATAAGACATGTGAATTATTATCTATTTTTTCAACAAGAATCGAACATGAGAATTACTATGAATTTTGCCAACAAGAATCGAAAATGCCAAAGTCAACATATATCATTCATCTTCATCGTTAGTCTTCAACTGCTACAATCCCCTAAGCCCTAATCCCTTAACCTTAAATTCTAAGCCTATAATCCCTTAGCCATAACCATAAGTTATAATCCTTTAGCCATAACCATAATCTATAAGCCCTAAGCCATAAGTCATTGACCATATATTATAAGTTATATACCATATGTCATAAACCATAGACTATAAGCCATAAGCGCTAAGTCTTAAGCCTTAAGCCCTAAGTCCTATGACATAAGCCATAGATCATACACTATCAACCATAAGTTATAAGTCATAAGTCACAAGTCATAAGCCTTAAGCCTCAAGCATTAGGCTATAAGCTCTAATCCCTAAAACATAAGCCATAAGCTAAAATCCCTAAGCCATTTGCAAAAGCCATAAGCTCTAAGCCATAAACCATAAACCACAAACCATAAACCATAAAACATAAGCCATGAGCCATAGACCATAAGCCATAGGCCATAAGCCATAAGCCATAAACAATAAGCCATAAGCCATAAGCCATAAGCCATAAAACATAAGCTTGTTCATAGGTTGACTTATTATAGGACCCGAAGATCGGAAATGCGTAAGAGAATGATCATTCTTTGGAGACATGTTACCATACATTTTCACATCGAAAATGGGTCGGGTTAATACCATACAAAACACCATTTGACGAGCAAGTATCATGAATGAACAAGGTAGTTACAAAGTTCAACGAGTTGTACAACAACTTAAAAACATAACATAAAAGTGGATAAACTTATGAAAATATTTTTGCGACATGCTAGAAATACATCAATCTCAAAATAAAGGGCAACCGCTCTAATATGTCGAGCTATAGAAAGTTGTATCGTGTAGCACAAAATGATTGAAGGTAGAGAAGGAAAATGTTGCTTCAAAAAGAACAAAACATATGAGACAAGTTACACAATTTCTTTGGATGCTCGTATCGGGTTAGACCTGAACAACGATGAAGAAATTGAACTCGAAGAAATAATGTGCCCAATAGGTAGGGATACAACGAAAAAGAAATCATCTTCGTCAAATGCATCGGGATTAAGCGGAGAAAAAACTAAAGATGCCAGTTAACTTCAAACAATAGAAATTTAATTTTTAACGAGCGATTGCAATTTGAGGAATATAGATTGGCAAAGAAAAAAATCATGCGAAGAAAAAAGCAAAACTCATGCGAAGATAAACAAAAAACTAGCGAGTTAAAAAAAAGTCTCAAATATATGAATTTTTTTGATACAAAACATCAACCATCTTTCTGGAGAATAACTCGATATTATTTTATGGATGAAAGCCGAAATCAGAAAAAAAAAAAAAAAAAGTTATATTAACTATGCTTTTTTTAAGTATTGTTATGTTTTAGTGTCATTTTACTTTCTATGTAATGTTTTTAACTATTTCGAGTTAATGAAGTTTATCATATTATCAAATTATAATTGTATTTGAACTATAACGTAATAATGTTGGTTGTAGCAACGCCTCCTTTAATGAAAGTATGAAAGTAATGATTCTTAAATAAGACCCTTCAAAATAGAGACGACAAACTTAAATGCAAATAATAAAGTTAGTAATCTACCCATGTGATGCTCATCTACTTTTGTGTCTACATGAGACCACAAGAACATAATGGGACAGACCACAAGAACATCATGGGACATTATGCCACAATCCAAATTTCAACATATGAAAACGAAAAAAAAGAAAAAAGGATGTGTGTTGGTCCATAAGACCCACAAACAAGAACAACAAATAATTTTAAGGGAGACTAACATAAAAGCTATTATAGTTTGACTAATATTAAGTCTAATCATTGTATTTTTGTTCTATAGCAAATCATTTATAAAGTTAAACAATCTCAATGTAAAAATTATCACATGCTGCTTGTTTTTTTCCCTAAAAACACTATTTTTTCCAAATAATTCAATCACGATCATTATCAATTTTTATTTTTATTTTCAAAGCACCTCGACCGTAGCATATTACCTTTGATCTTTAATCTCCATAAACATTTCGTAAGTAAGGCTAAGTTGCACAATCTAAGACTTACAACCCCAAGGTCACCATATTTTGTAGGCCTCATAATTATTGTTTTGCCATGCAACCCGACACATCTATTTTCTATTCTCATCCCCACATACCCTAAAGAAATCTTCTTCTTAAACCTTCAAGAACATCAATGATCTTTGTTGGGGCTTTTGAAGAGTGAAAAATAATATAATGGAAAGGCTACCCAACACCAATTTAACTAAAGTTAACCTTCCACCAAATGATCCAATTACTCAACCTTTGTCTTGAATTTATACACAATCGACTCCCAATTCTTAGCAAGTTTCATTTTTGAGCCAATAGGTAAGCCAAAACAAATAAAAGGGAAAGATGCATGTTCACATTTTAGAAAACTTGCAAGTCTAGTAATTTCCCCATTATCATAATCCTAAATCATAGAAGGTATAGTATGATAATTTTTACCTATTTCTTTCTTTTATATTCATATTTGGTAGTGTCAAATTAATTTATATATATGTTGCAGGAGAACATACTAAGAATAAAATAAACACATGAACACAATTACGAGTATTTTTATATGTAAGGGAGATTTTGGAGCATCGGGTTTCAACCTAACATTTTTTTATTGGTTCCTCATCACGTACAAAGTGTCTCAAGTCCATTACCATCTTCAATTTATAACTTATGTGTTCTCATCCAATTTACAACTTCTATGTTGTCATATAGGCAATCGACATCGGTGCATCTAATGACAAGTAGCTTCCTGCTATTTTACCTAATTATATATACTTCCATTTATTTGTTTATTATAGCATCATACTTCTATTTGTTCGTACTACAACATTGCACTTCCAAATTATTTTTCTTATTATGACCTTGTACTTTGAAAATTCCATATCCACCCAATCATAACATTACACTTTCAACTTATTTTTCTTATTAGGAGAATGTACTTTGAAAGATCTACTAATTAGAAAAGTGGAAAATCTTTGTATTTGGAATTTTGGATGACATTGCCATAATTGGGTTGATCTTTCAACAAAAGAATTTTGTAATTGTAAAAAATATAAGTATGATGCTATAATAAACAATAAATAAAAGTATGTTGCTCTTTCTTGCATTTTAGCCATTTCTTGTTCTTGTAGGGAGAAGCTTAAGGCCTTACTTCTTCATACAACGAAAAGTTGTTTAGTATCAGAAGGTGCCATAGCACATGATTTCAATTAGACATCATCTTTTTAGCATATTTACGAGGATTATCTAATTAGTTAATTTTTC